TTTACACAATTGATGTGTGTATGGATTGGGATAACAGTTGTATGAGCCCCTAATAAAATGTTAAAAAAGAGAAAACAAAACAAAACAAAAAAAAAACATTTCATACATCCACTGTATCAAGCATATTTGTACATGTTGCCATCATCATTTTCTAAGCATGTACTTTCTATTTGAGGCCCTGGTATCAGCTCTTTTTCCCCTTTCCTCCCCTCAAGGCTGTAAATCTTGATAGAAGCAGCTGCTTCACCTTGCTCCTATGCAGTGACTGGTGTGTTCAAACCACTAACCTGGCTAGCAGCCCAATCCTCCAGCCATAGCACCCTCAGGATTCTTTCTGGTGCCCACAGGCAATGTGTCTGCAATCAACGGCATCATATGCCTCCTCATTACCTAAGACCAGGTCCTCTTCCTAATTCCCCAAACTGATTAACCACCAGCAACCCAACTATAAAACAGCATCAATCTTTGATGACAATTGTACCCTCACTCATTTACCCACGCTGTGTCAACTGCTTCTAGTCTTCAAGGAGCTCGGAGTCCACCCCTCCTCTCCCGCTCTTACTGCCCAGCTTAGGCTGCCCATCTCTCTGCCTCTGGGATTCTCCCTCATCGACCCCTCAAGCTGTGCCAGAAGGGCTTTCTGGTACGCGGCGCTCTCCAGGTTACTTCGGTCTACAAAGCATTCTCGCATGCCACAGGCAGTTTCCGCCCGCTCTGACTAAACCACGTCTATAAGACTCAGCACACTGTATTATAATTATCCGTATTACTGTATGCTCTGATTAAAATTCTCTATAGGATTCCATATATCTAACAATTATGAAATAATTATAAAAATTAAGAACAGCTTAGTGGTTTCCAGGGCTAGGCACTGGGAAGGGAGTGGGTATGGCTAGAAAGGGGTAACACCAGAGTGTCGCACTGGTGACTGTATTGGAGTATGGTGGCTGTGACACAAAGCCACACACGTACAAACCCGCAGCAGCACGTGCACATGAGGACATGTATAACTGGTGAGAACGGAATGGACTAAGGATCGTGCCAATGTCAGCTTCTTGCCTTTGACACTGAACTATCGTGATTTGGGGTGTAGGCAGGAGGCAGTTCTTGAGAGAGAAAAGAATGGGTATTTCTCGGTACATTTCTTTGTGCTCTCTTATGAATTATTTCAAAACATAGTTTAAAAAGAACTGTCATGGATTAAACTATGGCCCCCCAAAATGTGTGTCAACTTGGCTGGGCCATGATTCTCACTGGCCTGGCCAATCAGTTGTGAGGGAATGAGAGTTGGGGCATACACTGATAAAGGGAGTTTTCCGGGGCTGTGACCTGAGTCACCCTCCATCTGCTAAGACGGAACCGAGAAAGAAGAGCTGGGAGTCAGTGAGGCCCTGGGCCCTGGGCTCCTGGGCGGTGAGCCGCCTGGAGCTCGGGGAAGACTGATGAGTATTTCTCAGGAAGGCCAGGTACACAAGTATGGAAAGGAGCCGAGGACCTTTCTCCCAGGCCACCACAGAGAGAAAGGCTTCCTCTAGAGCCAGTGCTCTGAGTTAGACTCTGAGCCTTCCAAACTGTGAGAGCCTACATTTATGTTTGCTAGAGGCAGCGTGTGATATTTCTATTAAAGTAGCACTAGACCACTAAGACAAGAACCAAAGAGCAAAAACTCCTTTGATTTAGAACCATTCATCATCACCCACAAAGGCAAACACAATCTAGCCCCTGGCTGCTCTCTGAAGTCACTGCCTGCCACAAACGCACCGCCTGCCTCAGAACTCACAGACCTTCCCTGGCCGGCC